GACTGAGGCAAAGAAGGCTTTCAGTACCTCAGGCTTTCCCTTCTCCTCAGTCACTATGTTTCCCACTGCATCAGCTAAAGGCTGAAGATTCTCCTCAATCCTCCTTTTATTGTTAATGTATTTGTAGAACCATTTTTTGTTGTCCTTTACAGGAATAGCCAAGATTAAGCTCTAGTTGAGCTTTGACCCTTCTAATTTTCTCCCTACATATCCTCACCACATCCTTGTAGCCCTCCCAAGTGTCCTGCCCCCTTTTCCAAAGGCTATAGACTCTCCTTTTGTTCCTAACTTCCAGCCAAAACTCTCTATTCATCCAAGCTGGTCTTCCTTGCCTGCCCCTCCTTTTGGGACATGGGGATGGGCCGTTCCTGTGGCCAATGCTCTCCATTGTAAAATGGAGGATCAGCTCACACTAAGTGCAAAAACCAGCTAATCCCACTGAAGGATGAGACTGTCAGTCCAACAGTCTGGGAGATTTTGAGATCTTCTGACTATCAAAGCTTCATGCCTCCACGAATGGCAGCCCATTCTGTGTGACATTTGAAGAATAGTTTTGGGGTTTTTGGCAATGTTAGAATTGCCCAGCAAATGGAAATTCCCATTTCTGGGTAGCCCCAAGTGCTGTTTCTCTTCTTGCCCCAGGAGAGCAGAGAGCCAGAAATGGCACCAGCCAAGCTCCCTTCCTGGCACATGAAAAACCAAAGTTATAATGTATTATGTACAAAGAAATCCTTCTTCCTGCCATAGCAGGGAAGGGGAATCAGGAAAAAATTGCACTCACTTTGCACCCAAGGCAGAGTACAGACACAGAATCTGTGACCATGAGGTAATGCCATCCTCTAGGCCATGGTATTTCTCCTAGTGCATTGGAATAGGAGCTCCTTTTAACCAGGGATATTAAAAATTAATCAATTCTATGCTATTATGCTATTTTCAGGCTTAATAAAAGCCTTTTTTGAGATTAGGATATGAGAAGCAATTAGACACTTTATATGACAACTGCAAACATTTTCTTAATTGCCAAGAATATTAAACTATTTTAACAACAATTTCACCTTATAAAGCTGAAGATCATTATTGTGAAGATTATTATTATAATGATCATTATTATGAAGATTATTGTTAGTTTACAAGCAATTATATTTTTCATAATTGATTAAAAACCTCAAAAAAGTAATAAATATCAATATCGCCTAATTAATCTGTCAAAATGATCTAAAAATTCTTTTATTTCCAGTTTTTACCAGAATCACTACAAATTGCAGAGGATGGCAAAGAGCATGTTTTGACTGTTCTGAGCACCATACCTATTGCCTGTCCTGGGCACAATGATTCCTGTAAAATTACTTTGCAGCTCAGTACTGAGGATTTGGGTAAGAGTTTAAAGTATCAGCATCAAATCAATGCAATTACTTTCTCCTGTATTTATTACAACAAATTCTAGTAGAAATTAGAAGACATAACTAACACAAAGGGTACAAGCCATCAAATCAACAAACTGGGCCATATATTTGTTTGCAAAATGAATTAGATTATAATATCATGCAGGTTTTTGAGGGGCAAAAGAAACCCTCCAACTAGCAATAATCTGAATGGTGGTCTGTTGAGTTTTACGGATGAAATAACTATGAGTACAAGGACTTATTTTAAATTCCAAGAGTATAAAATTCCATTTTAAGTTTTTGTAACAGCAATGGTCTTAGGTAGAATAATTTCATTAATTATCAATAAGAAGTTCACCTGCAGATTTATTATTCAGTAAATGTGTACTGAAGCTTTTTTCCCTTTCTTTTGCTGGCTTACAGTTTTTGTCTAACTTAATATAGAAGGAACAAAAACATTCTAATGCTTATATATTATTCTCTTTCTAAAGGTTTGGGGGTTTTTTTTGTGTGAAAACATTGGCAATGTCATTTAGAAAATTTTTGCCTTTTCAATCAGCAAATTCTTCACTCAGGTTAATCTGGTGGAATATCCTGCCTAACCAAGGTGGGGGCATATATATACACACACACACATATATATATATATATGTATGTATTTTCCATTAGCACTAAACAAAACACCCAACTCATTTTCTAACAAGTCATTTCTTTCTCTTCCATAGGTGACTCCATGAGAAAAATGTTTAGAAATAGGATTACAGCCACCATTTCTCTGCCCACAAAAAGCCAGCTCAAAAAAATGTTGGCAAAATCCAGATAGTTCATGATATTTTTCCCTTTCTAAATCCCTCTCTTTTCTCTCCCCATCATCAGCCAAGTGCTTAAACAGAAGAAAAAAATAATTCAGCTGATACCATAACACAATGTTCTTAAACTGAACGGCACCTTATGGTTCCAGCAGCTGTGTTGGCTCTCGTATGTGGAATACTTTGCATTTCTCCATGGCTCAGTGCTGCTCTGTTCTACATATTGCTCTTGGCTTACAGTCCCTGCTGGTCCATCAGGCAAGCATCCGCTGAGCTCATGGGAACAGATTTTCCCAGATCTTGAGACAGCTAAGAGTGCAGGCTGGTGTGTGGTGGGACGTCCCCACAGATTCAAATACTTTAGACACTTACTGTTCATGAGGATCAAAAGAGAATTAACTCACATAAACTGTCAAGGTCATTTTTTTTAAACTCACATTTTCCTAAGCATCCTTAAAACTTTTCAAAAATCTCACTGACATTGAATGAATGATCCAGGAGCTCTCAAGTGCATGAGGCTGAGTCTGATAGATCCAACTGAAACTGGGGTTGACCCCTTGCCAGGGTCTTCTCCAGTCCCAGAACATGAATTTGACTGGAAGAAAGAGGGGAGGCAGTAGTGGCAGAAGCAGTTTTATTTTCAAACTGTCAGTGGGCTTGATGTGTTGGTGCCAAGAGGTGTCAGGGTGGAGGCACAAGTCAACCAATTAACTAATCTTTGAAGGAAGTTGTCACTGAAGTGGAAAATTTCTGTTAGTTTTAATCAATTCATTTCTTCAGCTTAAACTAATAACCAGCTCTAGCCCTTGATTGCTCCATCCTAAGGCTATTTCCTTGGATGACACTTGGGCTGTTTATAATCAAATGAGATATTTATATATAGTTAAGGTTGAGTATCTGCTGCTGGGTGTTTGCATAACTGCATGTTTGGTTTATGCTTTTATTGTCTTTAGGGTCCATTAGTTTATCTGAAGGAACACTCTGGGCTTCTGGAAAGCATAATGTCAGCCACACTGCTATAAATTGAAAATAAAACCAATTTTAGCTGAGATTCCTTTATACCAAATAAATTAACCGACAAGCTCCTTGTCTGACTTAACCCATATAACAACACTGTTGTGCTAATTATGTAGGGAATAAGTGATAAGGAAGCTAATTACAACAACAGAAATCTCTCTCTAAGTTCAGACAATATCATAATGAATGCCAAGGCACAGCAGAGCCACTGGAGTTAGGCTTCTGTTAGGTTTATCATCACTATTTTGACAAGATGATTTTCTTTGATTTTAAACTTTTGTTCTGGGTTGTAAGCACAGCTCATGGGGCTGTAACAGCAATAACTATTCCTCATGGAAACCTCCAATTTAATTGAATCAAGAACCCTGAAAATGAGCCAGGACTTTTCTATAAGAGTTGAGGCAGCCTTTAAGGATTTGATATGAGAGATAATATGCTATTAACATTTGTAGGTTTTTAGTGCCGTTCCTATAGAACTCTAGAGGGTTAATGTAGAATATATTTTACGAGTCTTTTCCATAAGGAATAATAAATTGATTATTTGATCGTGTTTGAAATACCATCTTAAAATACTTGAATGCTATCTCCTATAAATTATTAAGCAATTCTACAAATAGGAAAAATTATATGAAAATCACTTATTTTCATATCAGGTTAATTACATTGCCACCATTTCTAGAGCATTCTTCTTAACAGCTGATAACTAATGGTCTGGGACAGCACACTAAATACTTGGCACAAACACTGGCCATCCTGAAATCAGCAGTGAGGTTCTGAGTGGCTTCAGTAGGGGCACAATCTCATTTTTTACCAATCAAAGGATTTGTGAAGGCTTGGGTGACTTTTTGAGGAGCAGACCAGATGGCTCAGAACCAAATGCTGTCATGATTCAGTGTTTGTAAATAAGAAACCTTCACATCTATGGAAATAAAAATCTAAGTTTATCCTTTACCTGAGACATTGGCATGAAAGGTCATTACCCAAGAGAAGTGGACACTACCAGTCTTGCTGCTAGAAGAGGTCTCTTTAGAGGCAGAGCTGTATAAATGACTTGGGTTGCCATTGCCATATTGATTTTGTCACCACCCATCACTTCCCTACCCATCACAGGTACTTACACAGCCAGTACCAATGTAGCTTATTACTTTTCCACATTCTTTTAGTGCCTTTATCCTCACAACACCTCTGTGACAGACAGAAATAAAACTAACATCTTTTGTACAGATTGGAAAGTAAAGCATCATAGCCTAGCTAAGCCAAGAATACAATTACAAATGTGCTGCATTTGCCTTCCTGTCACAGATCCAACGTTCACTAAAAACTGACTTGAGAACCCTCCCTTTCCAGATCAAAAATTTTGTTTATTTTAAATTAAATAACTCCCAGCAGATACCTCCTTATAATAAAGCTAGTGAAAGATAAATGTTTTCCAGAAACATAGACTCATCTCTTTCTTTGTCACGAGAACGACTCATCTTCATTCCCTGGGCATGGATCCATAAAGATAAGGCTGTCATTCCAGAAATATCAGCACCTGTGGAAAGAAAAGCACCACTGAGTTTTAGTAAACTGTCTGCTGCGGGGAGGGAAAAAAAAAAACAAAACCAAAAAGCAGAGTAAAACGTGCATAGGGCTGCCAGGCTGAGTCAGTCACAACTGTCTTCGTGCAAACCCCATCTGGTTTCGAGGCGTGTGTGTCCTGGAATGCGAAACATTTGTGTTGGGTGGCAAGCAGGGCGTGGGGAACTGTTTGGATAACTCTTGTCCGACCCGGTGCCCGTGTTCCTTTCAGACAGGCAGTCCCTGGCAGCCCCAGACGTCGCCCTTTCGGCGTGCCAGGTGGAGCTGCTGCGGGCGCCCTGCGCGGGAGGCAGCTGTGCGGCAGCCACGGTGACGGTGACAGCCGTGACGGACTTGGCGGGGGACGGGGACCGTGCCAGCCGCATCAGGGCTGAGCCGCTGCCACGGGGGGATTTGCTCTGGAGGGCTTACACACCCACGGACGTGAAGGTCAGCCCCGAAAATCATTCAGAAAACGTGTTCCATTTAAACAGGAGGTTTAGTATTGAAGAATACTAGACACTGATAAGCTTTCACTGTATAAACATCTGGGGACTGCTGTCAGCAGAGTAAACCAGAATGCCCTCAAGAAAATTAACCCATAAAGCCCTGTGCTTTTGCAGATTTAGGTTTGAATGTTAGTCTGCACATCAGTAAAGCAGACAGCTGGATGACAGATGGAACCAATCGTACTTCTCTGTGCCAAAGGAGGAGAGAGGGAGAACCTGGGTTAGGGAACCAACACCTTTTTAAGCAGGAGGGAGAGGGAAAAATGAGAGTTTGGAGAACAGCTTTTGTAAAAGCAGAGGGAAGGCAGCAGCTCAGGAATGAGAAAGGAGGACCAGGACTCAGCAGTGCCACGTTCAGTGTGTGACTGTGCCAGGAATCGCTGGGGCACCTCCGACGACAGACGCGGCTGCTCCGTCTCTCCATTTATCCCTGTACAAAATGTCCAAAATAAAAATAATAAGAAGCAATCATGGAGGCAAGCCACACTTCCCCTGCAGAGAGCCTGGCCAAAGGAGTGTGGTGAGCCTTGTCTGTGAAGCTGTTTCAGAGCCTCGGCTGGGAGGTTTGAGAGCCGTAATCCCACCACCCAAGAGAATAAGACAGAGCACAGATTTGACTCAGCTAAATTTCTCAGAGCAGTGACATATCCAACCTGGTAAATTTTAAGTAACCAAAAAATACCCCCAGTGAAATTCATAATTTCACTGCCCTAATTTTTTGCAGCTTTGCTCATGAGAGAACAAGATTAAACTGAATTTTTGTCTTCACAGTTAAAATGTGAAGCCAGTACTCTACAGTACTGGCTTCTTTCAAATTTTTTAAGATTCTTAAATCAGAAATTACAGCTAATTCATTGTAGTGCACTCACATAACCATATTTTTTCTTGATGTTACAAATGCTTTCATTAAAATATGAAAATGTAGCAAGTGTGAAATGGAATGAATCCATTTTAATAATAAATTTCATCTATCTCAGTTAAAATTTGATCTATGGAAACATAATAGACATTACCTTCACTCCCCCCCATTTTCCCCTTGATGTTTTGCAGTTAATTAGAGGCCTTAATGTAACACAGTTCCTGCAACATATTAAGGAAAAAAAAAATCCATATATTAAAACCCATATAAACTTTAGTTCTTCAAACTTGCTTAAATATTTTTGATTTATCTGAAAATTGAACAGAAATGGGGGGCAGGATACCTGGACACATTCAGAAACCTAATAAAGTGGATTTCTTCAGCAAACTAAGACTGCCTGCAACTAGGACTTGCATCCTTTTCTAGTATCATGCAAGAGAAGAGCACAGGAGAAAAGGCCACATGGGCTTTGCTTGTGCAAAGGTTTCACTTAGGAAGTTTGCAGGTGTGGAGAAAATGTGGAAGTTCTGGGACATTTCTTCATGTCATACTGTAGATACAAATGATACAACGGATCTCAGATGAAAATGCTGTTCAGAGAGGCGTTCAGTTTTTGTCAGTCCTCAAGACCATCACTCTGTGCTACACCAGACACTGCTGGGTACCTGAGCGGTGTCTCTGTGTGATGGTTGTGGTGCATTTTGAAACACAAATTATGTATTGCTGCAGGTGAGGAATTTTGTCAGGAAGTGTGGTTGTATCTTCACTTTCTTATGCATTGATTTGATTTCACCACTGTTCCTAAAGGCTAAGTTATGCTTTGTCACTGAAAGATTGCACAAAGGTAGAGTGGCATATGACAGATATATTCTTCTTCCCTGCTCCATGGATTGTGGTAGAACTAACTGAATTGCACCTCTGGACTTCTCATGAGCAAAGAGCAAGCAAAGAATTAACAGGCCTGGCCAAGAAATCAGCTTGGCAGGCTGGACATGAGAAAACCATAACACTTCATCACTCCCACCAGTATGACTGGGACCTCTTCATATTGCAGATCACTACACAACCCAGTCTTGCATTTCTGAGAAGTGGACAGCAGAGTATTCAGACACGGAAAAAACACCACCTTGAGCAGATTTGGCAATGCCAGCTCAGCACTGCCTGAGATTCAGATATTGCAACTTTGAAAGGAGTGGCCCTACCTGTAGCTTTTGCAGGTGTATCTGCTCTTGAAGGGTGCCAGGATGCTCATATCCCAACAGTGACCCTGCTTGTGTCCAAGTAACCAAGGGCAGATCCAGCTGAAGATCTTTGTTGCTAGAAGATCCTTCCCTCTTTTATTCACGTGCCAAAAGCAGACAGCTCCAGCCGCCTGATTTGGGACCTTGCCACTGATACCCAGTCCATAACCTGCACATCAGATATGTATATAAATCAGCCATTCACATTCTGTACCAGGAAATCTAAGGTCAAATTAGGGGACAGGCAGTGACTACTACTAAAATATGCTAATGCTACTTAATTACAGCAGACCTTAAATCGTACCTCAGGCATTAAAATTAGTACAATTTAATGAACACTCCACTCTCTTGATAATTTCAGTGAAAGAACTAATTCTTAGCAAAAAAGTTTAATAGAAAAGCTTCACTTTTTACCAGACAGACAGTGCATCACATGAGGTGGAATAGGAGCACTTTGAACTCCCTTATTGCATGTGATTAAACTCCGTTGTTTGAAAGTGAAGCCTATTTTGTCCCCCTCCACAATCGTGTTATAGAAGTCAGATTTTAGTTTGTACTTGACACATGAATCCTGCCCCTAATGTTTTGTGAGGAACAGTAATGAAGAAAAACTGCTGTGTAGACTGTATTCATTACGCATTTCATTTTAACTAGGTCACAGTTCGAGACCTCCCAACAGGGAACTGCTACTCTTTCACTGATCCACACATTATCACATTTGATGGATGGTGAGTAGTCTACTTTGAAATAATTTGGCTCAATTACTCCAGTTTTTAGCTTCTGGATGTAGCATGTGTTTGCTTTTACATTAGAATATCAAAAGCACGTTGTACTAGTTTGCTTATGGTGATTAATGTAGTGCTTTGACAATATGCATGGTTTCCTTCCAGCTGTTTATCCCCTTTAACAAAAGGACTAGAAATGGATTTCTCTTGAAGCCACAATGGGTTTGAGTCTGAGTAATTTTTACAAGACAAAGGTCAGATTTGTTCAATGTGATTTGAACAGAACCATCATTAATGACTTTGAGAGGGAGTCTACAGCATGTGGCACCGTGTTAGTGACAGCCCAGTTCCACACAAGTGAGCCAGTGTGCAGGGGCAGCCTGGTCCTTCCCAGCAGGTTAGTACTGCACAGTCACTCAGTCCAAGGATGCTCTTGCATTCTTCTGCTTCCAAAGCTGGTTTATGCACAGCTGCATCTCTGCGTGGCATTCACAGTCACAATCACAACCAAAATCCCATACAGATGGCTCTACTGTCTCAGATAAAGGAAGTCCAGAAATGACAAGTGACAAATATTAGTGAAAGAGTGAAAAAATAAAGTTATACATCTTCCTGTACTGTCCAGATGTCTTCCTACATTATTCAGCAATATGTTGCTTAAAGACTCACTGAGTCAAAGGTGGTACCTTTGTGTTTGCCAGCCTGTACTGTACAGAATTTGTCCCCAGTTAACTACCCTAATCATTCATGGATCTATTTGCCCCAGCTATTTAACTTAACAGAAAGGTTTTTAAAGTTTATTCCTGGCACGTTTGTCCAAAGTTGCTAATAATTTCAGATCACTTTCCAGGTTCGTCATTCTGCTGTTAACTTCTTAGTGGCACAGATAATGACTTTAGGTGCACAGTGTCCACAGGGGCTCGGCAGGCATGATATTCTAATTTAATATCCTAATGTCCCAGTTTTAGTCCAGTAGGCTCTGGAGATAGAACCTGAAATGACGTCAAAGCTGGAGAAATCTGTTGATGAAACGTAAGAAAAGCAGTGAATCCATTAAAGGTTATAGGTCTGCCTCAAATAAAGATTTCACCTAAATTGGGAAATCTCAGCTAGGAGATTAGCTCTGCACATCTCTGACTTTCCAGTTTCCCTTCAGCTTTGCTGAATAGCCTGTATAATGTGGCCAGGCCCTTGTTTCATGCAAGTGTGGTTGCTCAATATGTAGAAGCTGTGGAAGAGCTACAAGAGGCGCAAAGACAATGCCATGCCTCATGTATCTGCAATTATTTCAATTCTAGGATATTAAACTCAGAATATTATTTCAAAATTCTCTGTGCATTCATATTCTAAAATATTCCCTTCTGATTTAGGGGTAAGAATGGACAGTGATCTGCCAGGTTGCTGTGTTTAGGAAGTCATAAATTACTGCAAAGTGCCTCTTGGAATGAAACAACGCTCTCAGCCACATAGCACATTTTTACATGTCTTCCATGGGAAAAAAAGGTCTAAAATAAATTAATTCTATCTAAATAACTCATTTGGTAACCCTGTTATTGATAGCACACAGAAATGCTTCTAAGCAATTTACAGTTCTATTTGAGCACGGGGAGTTTAGAAAAGTTTGTCCTGTGGCATCCTGGTTCAGAGTCATGCTGCCTTGAAACAGAAAAATCCCAGGATTAGCTTGGCCCCTTGAAAACTGCACATTTCTTCCTTGTGGATGGATGTTCATTACTGCTCTGTCCAGTGTGGCTTTAAACGAGCCAAGCTGATGGGGCTTCTGCCATCTCAATAACTAGGTTATTTCACTAAGATATATCACTTCTTGATGTTCAGCCAAGTTTCTTACCCATCATTTCACAGTCCCATTACTCCTACTTATATTCCCATTTATTATTGTAAATAATTTTTCTTTCAATTATTGTAATGATTATGCCACCCTATTACACATCAGTTAAACAACTTCTCTATCTGCCTATTCAAAAAGAATGGTAACACATTAGTGAATTATTTTAAAGCTCCATATTTAAGGAGTGGGGGATGCAATTCCTGCTTCTGTCCTGGTAAAAACCCAGAACATAAAGACAAAAGCTAGCACAGAGGTATGGAACTGAGGCAGTTGTCTTTGGTTGTGAAAGTGCACGTGGAGGGAAATCATGTTTGAAATTATTAGGTGTTGTGTATTCTGAATGGAAGAATTGTACAAAAAGCTGGTAGGGTCAAGTAAGAAACCGTGTGGGTGTCCCTCACTAACAAAGAATGTCAGAAAGAGGCAGATTGTAAACAGGCAAGTAAGAGAAAAGAAAAAGCTAAGAGAAACTTCTCCTAAGAACTAGGAAGCAAGAGGATGAGTGGAATACCCCTTGGGCTTCTGGAGCTACATTGACTGTAATTCGTAGACACAGGCTTGGGTGAGAACATTACACAGGGAAGAAAAGAAACTTCCAAAATTAGTCAGAGAAAACTGAAAGAAATAGCAGCCTTTATCCACCTCTCCACAGCCACAAAGATAGCAGCAAACTAACTTAATAAACTACCAAAACTGCTTCTGAGAGCAACAACAGAGCATCCATCAAACAATGCAACCCAAGGAAATCCATTTGTTCCACCACAGAGCCTATAGGACGGCTTACAAGGACACAGCAGACTCTGAGATCAAAACATTGCAGGCAGAGCTGCTGTGCATGGGTGATGATCAGTTGTCTCTTTGGCACCTTTTCTACCCATTTGAGTCCTGGGAATGGTATATGAAAAGCAAGGGAAAGTCTGAAGGTGGAGAACATTGCCAACAGCAAGACAATAGGAGTGTTTTCTACACAAACAGGCATGCACATCAACACACTCCTGCCTTCCTCAGGGTCTCTTACCTTCTTTGACTTTCCCAGCAGCAGCAAATAGAAGGAGGAATACACAGTAGGGAAAAGCAAGGATGAGAACAAGGAAAAACAGAAAACTGCAACCTTTTTTGGTTTCCAAAATGTAGCTTTAAAAATATAAAATTTTATTGAAAAATATTTCTTTAGCAGATTTGTTGGAAAATTAAAAAATTGCATGAAAATCAAAAGATTGGTAGATTTTTTTTTTTTTAGTAGTAGTAGTATTCTACTGAAATGGTCACTTCCAATGTACAGGTTGTTTTATGAGTTTTCAATACTTCAACGATACTTCATTTTGTAACTTTCCTAGTGATGTCTTCCATGGTTTTAATCTGACATACTGAGCTCATGTTACATCTGAGATAGGTAGCTGCTCCCTAGATAGCAGAAATATCTAACTCCCAATTCTAATGATAATACACCCCTTTGGTATGCCTCCTGCTAATATATTTCTGTCGAAATCCTTATCTCGTCATCTTTTCATTCTTTTGACCAAAGGAAATGACAGAAAATCAAAGAAGAATGTGTCATATTTTACTGTGTAAGCACAATCAATTTGTGTATATTGGCGCCTAGATGTGAAATAGCGTTAATTATACTAGCTAAAACCCAGCGAGAGCACTTCCTTTTATAGCAAAGTACCTTCTAAATTAAACAAATGTGAGAGCCTGGTAGAGCAAAAGTATAGCCCTCATTACTAGTTATGGCACATTATAAATATAAAAGCTTTTCATGTCATAAATTGTAGATTCTTAAATATGAAGTACTAGCTTAAAACTAAATATGCAGAAAATCCCTTTAAGGCAAAATATAAAAAAGGAACTTTTTATTGATTGGTGAACTATATACATCATTCACGTTATTTTGCATTTTACCTGAAAAAAAAAAAAAGAAAAAGAATTTTCACATTTCTCAATCATTTATGTTAATCCACCCATCAATACTATCACGGGGTAATGACACTATTTTCTGCACAACGACAAAATCCCTCAGCTCGCACAGCTTCACATTTCTTGGTGGCTTTAGTGCCATTCACCACTGTAGCCCACAACTAAGTCCTGGGCATGAGTAGCCCTGCCAGAAGTGCTGTTCTTTTTCATAATCTGTAGAAGTTTTTACATCCCCAGGCATCCAGTGGTGGCTGAACATAACCCAGCACCTTTGCTCCCTGAGAACATGGCAACCAGTAGTTAGAGATGAGAGCCCTGAAACCAGAGAACATCCCCCAGCATTTCCTGTGGTCACAACAAGTAAAGAGGGTGTCTGGAGGAACATGTCAACAAATCAAATAATTTGGTGTTAAAACTATGGTGGAAAATCTTTAGAAGCAGCCACAATAATAACTGAGTTAATAAAAAGATGAAGTGTAGCTTTGTGAATAGTATGTACATTGTGTTAGTTAATGTAAAGCTACTAGTAATAGTTGTTTACAAATATTTATATCTCTTTCTATCTCGTACAATAAAGCAACAGAAGTGATTCCTGTAGCATCTCACTGTAATAATCAAAGACTTAATCAAAGACTTTGGAGCATTTTATAATTCTTGGAATAAGAACAAAACTTCAGGCATGTCTTTCTGTCAGGACAAGAACTTACTATACCCCTTGAAATACAACCCAAATACACAGTTGGGGAGGTAGGGAACCACTTCCATAGAGTGATTTGGGTTGGAAGGGTCCTTAAAGGTCATCTAGTTCCAAACTCTACCTAGACCAGGCTGCACAAAGCCCCATCCAACCTGGTGTTGAACCCATCCACTGTGTGCATCCACAGCTTCCCTGGGCAACCTGCTCTGGTATCTCACCACCCTCAGAGTGAAAAACTTTCCACCCAGTACATGGGTTGTTACAGACTATTCAGAAAGCAGGATAGAGAAGTGCACTGTGGATGGCAATTTAGACACAAGCAGTGGTGCCTGGTTCACGAAGAACATGCAGAGCTCCCTCACTCAAGAGCTGCAGTAACTCCACTTCATGCTTTTGGTGCCACAAGCAATTTCTCAGTTGTTGTCCAAAGAATCATTATCACAATTACAGCTGTATAAACATCACAAAAGTTTACCTGACTACATTCAATTATCCATTCAAGTAATTCAAAGGCAGCTGAAAGCTTCAATTTAAACACATTGCAGATTTGTTATGTGCTATGCAATCTATGCCATGACTTAATTGAAGGACTCTAAGTGAGTTCCAGGAGAGTTGGATTTGGTCCATTGTCAATGCTTATTAAGCAGTAAATAGCTCCCATAACTGCAGTTATATTTATATGCATATGCTAATGCAGTCTTATTTACCAGATACAGTTGATTAGTCTGGGTACAGCCATTCTGTTGCATTATTTTCTATCAACCTCTTCAAACACCTTTCCTTCCAAGCTCCCACTGTTGAAGGAAACTGTGGAAGGTGATCCTCATAAAATATCCTGTCGCCGTTGTCTCTCCTGTGAACACATCCAAACAGATCTAGTACTTGATGTTAAAAAAGTTTATCTATTTTTTATGTTGTCCTTAGTTCTAATCAATTTTATTAACAGCACCTTCATGGTGTACTTAGGATTTATGAACCTGATTAGAAAATAAGATGAGACAGAACCATTCAAAATCTTATCGTTTTACGGCCAACTTCACTTAAGTTTTTCAAGATGAAAGATAAAATCAGATGTGTTTCCTAGCTGGGAAAACAGTTGGTGTTTAAAATCTTGCTGTGTTTTAAGCTACATAGTTTTCTATGGCTTTTATTCTGAAGAGAAATAAAATGCAGATATATATACATGCTAAAAAATTCTTGGTTCTTGAGCCACTTGTTCTTCTTTATAGGAAATATTAACAGACTGAAAAAATATTGATGTTTGTGTGACAGTGCTTAAAAATAATCCCTTTATTTAATTGAGGTATTTTATACTTTCCTTTTTACGTTTTCTTTTTTTATTGTAGAAAAGAAAAATGCTTATTATTATAAGCTTATAGCTTAGTCTCCATATTATTCTGATCTCATAAAAATCATGTTTGAAACCAAATGCAGTGCCTTAAAAGGAAGTAGAATAATCTTTCATTTTTAAAGATGGGAGTTCTCAGCTTGTGAGGAGAAAACTCTAGCAACATATATAAGGTATACAGCTACTGCTTTCTTTACTGTTATACCTCATGTTAGAATAAAATAGGGGAAGAATAAGACAAGCTTATGGAGTGAGAAAACAAAGAACAAGAAGACGAGGATCCTTTTGCAGGTCCCTGTTGTGGAAAAATGAGGAGCTGCAGGTGTGAGGAATTTTACCTGGTTTATGCAGAGGGAAAATACTTGCAAAGTTTTTAAAGTTATTCTGTTTATGGCCTATCAGGTGGAGCAGGGACTCTGTGTGCAGAGAGGAATGAAAGACCCAAGTTGTTCAACACTGCGCTGTGCTGATTGCCACTCCATTTACAGCAAAAGTTGTGCTTACAGGGAAGTTGTTGAGGGGGGAATTACCTTCATTTTAACAGGTTTTCAGTAGAAACCCAGTTTTTCACATGAAATATTCACCTAGCCACAGTCAGTCTTGTAAATGTTAGTGATTAGTCACAGAAGAGGCTGTTTGAGCACTGATTTTGCTTTGAAGAATATCATGCTATAAAGCATACGGTTACAACCAAAACATATTTATTAAGGCCTGGAGGCAGGAACTTTTTCCCATTTGCTTTTTATCAAATGTTTATCCTTTTTAATCCATGCCCGTTGCCATAGAAGCAGCTGGGCGACAGCTACCCTCTTTTCACACGAATTCTTTTGCACCTCCAGCTAAGAACCGCGACGACGTTCCCTGCGACAGCACCAGAGAAACGCTTCCCCGTGGGCTGACTCCTCCCTCCTTCAAGGCCAGCCACCACGTTGGTCTAATTAAGGAGCGCTGTTGTGCGAGCACCAACAAACGGCTGTCCCAGGCAGATGCTCTGGGTCTCTAAATCCTCTTCTTTTTGTTGGTTGCTGTTTAGGCGCTACGATAACTACAAAATCGGCACCTTCCTCTTGTGCCGGAGCGTGTCGCGGGCGTTTGAAGTGCACGTCCGGCAGTGGGATTGTGGAGGCCGCCGTTCCCCCACCGCCTGCAATTGTGGTGTAGCTGCCCGGGAAGGGGGTGACACTGTGGTGCTGGACACCTGCAACGGCCACTTTCGGGAGAGCAGACCCCAACTTACCATTAAAAGCACGGAGGCATCGCCACACGTCAAAATCCTAAAGTCCTACGGAGGGAGGAAAATAACAGTACGTGGATATTTCCGTGCTCTTCTTGTTGTGGTTCTTTAAAAATGTGAGTTTAATATCTCTGAATTATTAATGAAGTTGCTACAAAAATATCTATCTGAAGCCAGAAGAGTGCCTGCAGCAAAAGGACCGAAAACCAGAGAAGAGGCTGGTTAAAGTGTTAGTTTAACAAACTGTAAAACAAACCAAAACAAATATCTCTAGAAATTTCTCAGAGACACAGCAGAGTGCCAGGGTTGCTACTTCCTCTCTGCCGTACAGCAATCTGCTCTCAGATTTTTTATGCTAGACACTACCCAGCCGCAGCACATAACGCAAATTTCTTTGCAGAGCTTATAATATAAATATTCAAGGAAAGATCACAGGTAGCAGAATAATGTAGTTTTAGAGTGGAACACTAAGGCATTATTAGTCAGATCCTGATAGCCCCCAAAAGCCGTGAAAATGGGCTGCAATTGTGCAACATTTGGTATAATTTAAAGCATTTGCTTAAAAAATATATGGCTACAACATACTTTGCATGAGTATCACTTATCCACACTAATCCAGTGAAGTCACTGAAAGAGATTTCAGGATGCACCAGGGTCTTTGGTGAGGAGAAGAGCCACAAATTATGGCCAAGGAGATAATTCTATCCTAGAGTTGTATCATCAAGACTTCTTGCCAGAAAATATTTTGGGTGAAGATATGTCCACAATAGAGCCAGAATGATGCAGGGAATGCCTGTGCTTGGCTCTCCTTGTGATATCACTTGGAGTAGATCTTAGCAAGGTAGTAATTGAAAGTCTGTTAATTATAGAATATAGAAAAAGCAGGAAACAAGCTCTCATTTCATTTTGTAACCGAATGCAATATAATTACTGTTTTATGCTAGAATAATCTTAGCAAGACATCCCTACTCTCATTTACACCTCATGTAAGTCTCAGTGAAAAAAACTAGGAGACCCTGTGGACACAAATATTAATCCTGCCCTAATCTAAATGGGAATCTGTAGGAGCTGGGCAACAATGAGCACAATCCCTGAATCCCTGTGCATGGTGCATTCCCATTTGCTCAGCAGTTGCCCATTGCCAGCCTTACCCAGTGCTGGAGCCAACTCTCATGTGGCTCCTGTACCAGCTGGTGCTTTGCAAGGGGTTAAGTCACTTCTCTTCTGTGCCTGATACCAGCTTCCAGCAGCCAGTCACCATCTCTGCAAAATGAGGTCTTGGAAAAACTTCTTCAAAGCCTCAATCATCAACTTTAAATCCAGGTTGGTTACAGAAAAACTGGGCAGATTTTAGGTCCTCGGTGGCAGGTGGGACACCTTGCTCTCAGCAGCAGAGGAAGAAAGGGTTACAGCTCTCTGAATTCCTGAAATAAATCCAGACCTGGAAATATTAATCCAGACAGCACAGAAGACTGAAGAAGCCCATGCAGTCCTGACTGCATACATTTTATATGCAGCCTTGTAGGAAATGCTCCTCCCTGTAGTAAAGCATGTAATTAGAAGGCACACATTTATCTGAAGGAAGAAATCAAATCCTACTCAGCACAGTGGCAACTGCAGTTCTCCTGATCTACTTATTAAACAACTAAGAAAAAATTAATTCATCAGGCCATTTGAGCTTTATGTTGGAGAATCTTTTTTTGTTTTGTTTTTCAAACTTAATTGAGGACATTTAACATACAGCAAAGGTGGAGGTTCAGCCAGGGTGGAGATACAGTCATGACCTTCAGACATATTCAAAGAATTGGTCTTATATGATGACTTACATTATTCAGCAAGACAAATACTTTTTTAAAAATAGTACTTTAAATGTCCTCATCAAAACACAGAGGGCCTAAGTTTAAAACAGTGTGTCTCTGGCTGTTATTGCAGTCAGTGGCACTTTGCTGCTTTGCTCAGCTGGACGAGTAGATTGCTCATGGAAAGGTCTTCAGAAAGTATTCTCACGCCTGAAATGATGGGGAAGCTAATATGGGCAAGATTACTACTTAGTGCAGCCAAAATATAAATTCGGGTTCCAGCACAGAAATCCAAATATAAGTTAGTTGCTTCTTCACAGGTATGAATAGATTTGGTGGCAAGGAACTTAGAAGTGACCAAAAAACTCCACTAGAAGAAAGAAAAGCAATGGGTATTATTTGGCTGAATAAATTATACTTAGGCAGTGGTCACTTAAAAAAAAAGGAAAATAATTTTTTTGAAATCATTGCAATGAGGTATCTCTGACTATTTAATGTACTTTTTAAGATAAATTTAAAACATTTAATTTTTTTAAAAAATATTAAGGTTACTTATCAAGACATAATACTCCTGCTCCCACTTCTGGCACAGAGCAGTTTCAAAGTAGTTTTCTTTTTACCTATAGAAACAAAGCAAACAAACAAGAATACATTTCAGTTGAACAGATTTTTTTTTCTTTTTTTTTATTATTTGGGACACCAATCTGAAAAATCCATTATCCACACAGTCACTTCTTTGTTTTAACCTCAAGATTTTTTTTTTCTTCTAAAGGTCAGTGTAAGCCTACCACAAGTTCTTTAATGAGAAAATTGCTTTATCCACTTCAAAACGCAATCATTTTCTGGGGAATCTGGCCTTGGAAAATGAAACAATTTTTCAGAGAGAAGAAAGCTGTTTTTTAAACTTGGCAGTTTATCTAAAATAAATTATTTCCCAGGCAAAGACACAAGGGTGGCCTTATTGTCACGGAAGCCACTTCAAAAATTAGCTGGTAACTTACAGTGGGAAAACTTCAATGGATGTAATTATTTTTTTAAAAAGATAGTACTGGTGCAGTTTTATATTTATCTAATGCTATTGGATATTAGTACCACGGAATCTGAAAGCAAGCTAAATGATAGTACAAATAAATATTTATAGTGTATCTAAGTGTTCTTAAATTATCTTTGTCACCGCCAACATCCTACTTCGATATTTTAGTTTATACAAAGGGACGTTTTTTATTGCATAAAAGGCTTGGTAACAGTTTCAATTCACTGGGTGAATTTTTCTGCCTTTTCAGATCCTGTTCCCTTCGGGAGCATTTGTTCGAGCTGACGTGAGCGAGTGGGGAATGGGTGTGACAGTGAGGACACCAGGCAGCGACTTCAACAACACCAGAGGTTTGTGCGGCCTCTTTGATGGGATCAGTCACAACGACCTGAGCCATGTGTCTGAGGAAGACTTCATAGAGGAGTGGAGGTACAAAGCGAGAGAGGATCCCAGCCTGGGAGATGCTCGGCAGCACTGTTTGGGGGGTGATGATTTCATCACACACTCCTCTAATGACCTGAGGGAGAGATCTGCTTAATCTAGGGAGGGAGGCTTGGAGACCCATCACCATCTAAACAGCACAGGAGGGGGGGTGGGGGTTAAATTTCATTCAGCACAATACACACAAGCAGTTACTTGAGAAAGCTTTATATTCATGATGTCATGTTAACAGCTGTGTAAAGATCTCATTCAGCTGTTAAAAAAAATGCAGCTCTCACCCACTCTAGAAAACGTAGATAACTGACAATAGGGATTAATTAGGGGTTTGGTATTTCCCTTGTTCTTTTATTCCCAAACACTAATTACAATATGCGAGTATAGATTAAATGTTACATTTTGACAAAGTGTGGCAATATATGTACCATGCTAAAACTGAGTATCTACTCTAATAATGATGACAGTGAGCTCTAAAACTTGCACTTTCTGAGACAGATGGTCTGGAAGCAAAGCCAGGAAACTCGAGCTCTGACATACTCCTGTCCCTCTCCTACATTTTAATTCCTGTTGTTGAACTCTAAATATGCCTAATAGGTGTTCCTAAACCCAAAATGGATTTGGTTGATTGTGTTGTTTTGTTTGTGATGTGTGTTTTGCAAATAATGAAGAATAAGGTGAACCAACTTAACATACCATTTAATCTGTACATGGCAACTTGGTGCAATCCTATGGGAACAATGAATGTTTAGACCTATTGCATGTCAGAAAATAAATTAACATCTCTACCATATTCTAGTTGCATTCAACAGTCCTATGTAATGGCAATTTTGATCTGTCATTAAATATTGTACTACTTCAAATTCAACAACCATCTTTAACAACTCATTAATATGATAATCAGTCAAAGCTTGCTTCTAGGAAGAAGTGGAGGAATAGTTCAGTGCAAGAACCAACCAACTGCTGAATACCCAAAAAAGGGCTAACAAACTCCTTAGGAGGACCTGTTCTTTGTTGAAAGATCAGAAGCCAAAGCACAATATATAGGAATTTACTTATATAACAGAGAGGAGTTTCCTGAGGCTTGGCACATATGATGGAGATACTTCAGGGGAGGCAGAAGTCCCTGCTAAGAGAGAAGGGCAAGAGGAGTGATAAATTTCACCTTGGATTCTCAAGGACCTTTCAGAATCTGGTTAAAAAAGTCAAGCCAACAGAAAGGCTGAGGCCACCTGCAAAGTAGACTGGATCAGTCTCTGATCCACCCATGAAGAAATGATGCAGTAAAAAACAAACCCTAGGGGGTGATTTTTCTGCTGCTGCTATTAATTTCATTTTAAATAACACTGAAAGCATGTTAGGTTTTCTCCAGCACCCGAAGCCAGTCTGAGTGCTCGTCACCATCTGGCAGTTTGACTCCTTCCCTGGCTCCCACCCCTCTCAAGCAGCTGCAGGGCTCTGAATGGCACAGATATGTTTTAAACATCAGCTTTCCAATGCAACTTTCAAACAATAAAACACCATCAGAGCCTCCCAGCCCTTAAATGCCATCCGGACAGAGAAGAGATGAATTTAAAAATATGTATTTTAAGTAGGTAAAATAATTTCTCAAACCATTTCTCAGATCTTTTGAGAAACACATAGCAATGCTATTAATTTTGGACTCTATAACAGCATGCAACAGTTTGAAAAACTTGGCTTTAGAACTTTGATTATAATGGGAAGCTAAGAGGAATTATAGGCCAGTTGTCTTCTGCAGGGGACTGGAGGCACATCCTAGCTCACCAAGGTGCTGTTGGTAAGTGTGTGCCTGTGAGGAAGGATAGCATTTCCACTGGCTCCATTTTTTCCACACCATACACCACTGTCCTGTTGACTGGGGCTGACCAAAGGAAGGTCTTTGGTTTCACATAGGAATAGCAATGGAATTTGTTTCAACAAAATATCATGGGGGGGGGGTGAATAAAATCGTTCTACTGAAATTTTGATTTGTGTTTGAAGTTTCTGTCCTGATTCTGGACCAGTTTATGTGATTTCTGAAAATTAACTTATGAAAGATGTGATATTTACCCTAGCCTCTTATTTATGTGGTATTCCCTGAAAGAAAGAGCTACTTCTGCTGCCTTAGTTTAAGTTTATAGTTAGCTCATGGTGCAAATCTAGGCAGCTTCAGCAGCAGGTAACTCCACTATGCAGAGCCAAAGGAACAACGCGTGCAGGACACTGAACTGCATTGCCCAGAGGACTCATGCCCCCTCAAACACCACATGAGTTTTACTGTCCAACACTGTAGGAAAGTGCAAAATAACTTGTGTATTTTTTTTGAGCATAGTAGCCATCCTGTTATATCACATTGCATTCTGCAGTGCCTGCACGATGGGAAAAATGGTTTCAGAAATGTCTGGCCTCATAGAATCACAGAATCATTTAAGCTGGAAAAAATCTTTTAAGATCATCAAGTCTAACCACAGTAGAAATTGGTTCATTTTGCCTCTGTCACTGTATTGTTTTATTTAAAAGTTAGTGTTATATCGACGATCAAAATAGTAGTGTTATATATACATATAAAGTTTGGAAAACATTAGATAAAGGTAATTACATTTTCTACATCAGTATCTAGATACAATAGTATCTGGCTACAAAGTTCTGGCAAATGCTTCCACTTTCCTGAAATCTCTACATTCTGGCTACACGACAAAATTAATGCCAAAATGATTTATATTTGTGCTGATTTTTCAGGTTTGGCTGGAAATGAAGTGCTGTTAACTATTGGGACAAGAAGCATATCTTTTTGTATGATATTCCAGGAAACTAATGAAATTTCTGAAGAAACTTTAATCATGGCTGTTTATTCAAACTGAACTCTCTAGAAGTTCATTTATCATTAAAGCTGAACTAAATTAAAAAGGGAAAAAAAGTTGTCTCAGATTATCTGGTAGCCTAGCCCTATGATCAATAGAAAACTGCTTTATGTTGGAAAAAAATCTCAAAGAAAGCTCCATTAGAAGACAAGAATGAAATGAAGTATGCATTAAAAATTTTAAAGAAAAAAAAAAGACATTTAAAAGAAAAATCATAGTGATGCAAGTCTTGGAGGAAATGCCTGGTAAGGAGAGGACAGGCAAATAGGTAAAGAGGATTTTCATAACAAAGCATTTGAAACATATACTTCTTTTTTGTCATTCTCCAGGAGGTATCTAAGTCAAACCAGGGACAAATCCAAGGCCTTTTTCCATGTGTAATAGGCAAAGGGCAACCTGCACCTTACAGAAAGTTCGTCAAAGGGAAGTCAAGCACTTAGGCAACACTCCAGCAAAGCACTTAAGCATCTGTTACTAAAAAGTCCCTAGAAAGTGCTAAAAAACATACAGGACAATCCAAGAAGGGCAATGCAAAAGCAACTAAAGAAAACAGAGAATAAACTTAAGCATTTTCTTAAGCACTTTGGTCGATTGGGAATTTATACATTCCCCAGCCTCAGGGAAAGAAAGTTTACTTGGTCTTGTAGACTAATTTGTTGAAAGTTTCCTCCCTCTAATCTCTTTCTATTTTTAAACCAGAATACCTCCAGGGAAGAGTTTATTTGACAAGACTCCAGCACCTTCGGAGGGGAAGCAAAGGAAAAATTACTGCAGATGTCAGAAGGAGAGCACTAAGTCTACACCTGTGACAAATATGCTGAACGCCTTTCAGACTCCTTTCCCTCAGTCCTCTGGTTGCCATTATGATCATGTGGATTACACCTCTGCAATCCCATATCTAGATGTTACGTCAGAGTTTGTCACTCACTCAGAAAGAGAGTCTACTTTAAGAAAAGATGTGAAGCTCTTGACTAAGCCTTTTAATCAAAGGTACCTGCCCAAACCAGTCCAAAAACGAGGTAGCCCTGAGGACCAGTTAAAAGCCCTTGCACACGCCGTTTCCATGAAAAGCAACAGTTCCATTAACTCAACCAAACCAACAAAAGACATAAGGAGAGCAAGAAGGCAAGACGACTATTATGAATACTCATCCTTTCACCCATTGCATGGCCCAAGCCAAAGAGATTCAGAGAGCTTTGCATATTTTTTCCCAGAGGATTACTTTGAAGGGATTCGGACAAAACTTCCACTGGCATGGCCCACTCCCAGTGGCCTAACTGCTGTCAAAGCTCGAGAGATTTGCCAACAAATTCTTGCAAACTCCACCATTGGCTCAGTGTGTAAAGATCTCCTTGGGAAACTGATGGACGAGGCAATTGATATATGCCTTTTAGATCTACAGCTGAAGGATGACGTGGCCTGGGTGAGGGCACTGACAGCCCTTTTGGAAAATGAATGTGAAAGAAGAGTACTAGGAAACAGAGTGTTTGATGCAGGAGCTCACCCCTCTGCCACCCAGGAGGAGATCCTCACCGCCCTCCGCTGTCCTGCCCTCTGCAACGGCAACGGGCAGTGCACAGCACTGGGCTGCCAGTGCTTTGAAGACCACAGCTCCTATGACTGTAGCATTGCCAAAAGTAAGTTAAAAATTCCATTTCTTCCTACCCTACCCATCTTTCCACGGTATTAGTGATATTAGGTAAAACATCTGCACTGAGTTGTTTGCTCTTCAAACAGTGCTACCAGTAAGATATTTGATGAATTAGTAATCAGCTTTTGACCTTGAGGAGCCGATCAAAATATCTGGTTGGCTGATCCTTCACTTTTTCGCCTCAGTAACTTTTTAAAAATGGATTTTACAAGCCCCTTAGCAAATTGGTTTTGCAGAAGTGATTTTCTTTACATCTGATCTATCACCAGCATGCTGACAAGCAAGCTTCTGACAAAAAAAAAGACACTGCTGCTCACCTTGTGGTCAATATTCATGTTAACATTGTATAGATAACTTTTTTTTTTCCTGATCAACAGAGAATAAAATTTGAAAATTAATTTCAAACTCTGTAGTAGTAAAAAAAAAAAAAATTAAAAATGACAAGATGAACAGCTAACATTGGCAAAGCCATAAAATACCTACAGGACATATTTGAACCTGCAGACCTAATTCTGCAAATACTTAGGAATTACTTTTACACAGAGGACTATCCCACTAGGTTTGTTTCTTCTTTACCGTTCAGCCCCTCAATGGATAAATCCAAGTCCAATGTGAGTACTGACAGTGTTGAAACTAAGAACACACATAAATGCTAGCATTAATTTCAAAATGTAAGCCCTGCCTCAGCAAATCACATAGGCTTATGCTTGAAGTTACAAAAAGGTACTTAAGGCTCAGCTGTACAGTTGAGTTCCCACAGCTTAAGAAGTCACTATTTCAGCTAAGCTGAAATGACAAGATATGCTCTCCTAACCCATCCCAGATATGGGGGAGAGCCTTTTTCTATAATGCTCAGGCTAATGGCCATTATTCTGTATTTAGGACAGGTAAAGCTCATATCTAGAGTCAGTCGCCATGGTTTATCTGAATCTCCATCCAACCCTGGGAGCTCAGTGGCACATCTGATACCACAACACATCTACTGGCTGGGATGGGAATAACCATGTGCTTCACAATAAACGTGTCTTCATTGCATTGATTTAAAGGGGTTGAAATACATTCTGATATTTATTTTTTTGTTAATGGAAGATTCAAATTTGCAAGACCATTTTGTAAATTCAGAAGAATTCACTCTTTTTCACACTGAGAACAACTGACACCAGTGACTGCAAAGCAAGCTGAGCAATTTTCAGTAATTGGCCAATATAGAAATCAATGTTTAACTTCATTTCTTTGTGATACAGTCAAATTAGGGGGATTGCTTAAGCCAGATTTTTAAATTCTATTTTCCTTTGCCATGGCTGAAATCCCTCAGATTAGAGGAAAATAACTTCACTATGACCTCTCGAGTAAAAGCTAATGGCACCTTGTCTGCTTGCTGCAACATCAGATATAAACAAGCACAGAACAGAGAGCAGAGCTTGAGATTGCACAGGGAGGTGAGAAGTGAAAAACAAACAGACATCAGCTGTGATGAACACACCATAAGCCACTACTGCTCCCTGGCTGGGAAGCAGGAGCTGCTTCATCCGTCTCCTACTTTGCTTTACTCTTCTCCAGTTGAGGAAAAGGTGGTAGTTGGTCTTTGCTTCAGATCACTTCTCTTTTGGAAGCCTGGTTTGTCAGAGTTCCAAGTACATCAAATAATTCCCTCCAGTTTTTCAAAGGGTCACTAGTATCCTGATTCCCCTGGCAGCCTCCTGCTCCCTCTAGCACCTGGAAACCCCTCTCCTCCAGGGCTCTGGGGCTCCCAGGTGGTCTCCACTGAGCAAGAGCTGCTCCATGGAGGCTGAGTTTTCAGCATGAGCATCCTCGGCCTTAGCCTGGTCCCTGGGGGAAGCGAGCTTGATGTGGGACCTGCACCATTGCCATTTGGAAAGTGTAAATTTCCCTTAATGTTTCTACTGCTCGATTTGTGGGGGGTGAGTTTGTCAGTGTCATGACAAAACTAAAATTGACACCTTCAGCAGTTTTCAGGCCCTTTTCCAAAATTCCTATGCAATTTTCCTAACAATTCAGGGACAATATTTGATTTAAAAAGTGAATTGCCCCTGCTCTCCTTGTCACCCTGCATGCAACCCACATTATCTTAGCTGCAGCTAAGGGCTTGTATTTTTATTTTTTTTTTTAACTAATATTGTAATGTATTTTCTATTGGTGTTAATTTTAAGTACAAATATTATTTTTTATTTAAGAAAACCTACAGAAGACATTAATAACTACTGGAGGAGAAGAATGCTTTTTAGCTAAGTAAAATGAGCTCAGAAGAGAAAGCATGAAATAAAACAATAGAGTAAATTGCCATTTTGAGGCACCAATGCTCATTTTTCTTTTGAGGTAAAGGTGCTGCATAACTCTCTGATGCACAGGGTGTGTCTTCCCAAGGGTGTCCCTGACCTGGAGAATATTTACCATTCATTTTTCTTTTTTCTGTCATCCTAGTGAGATTCTGTGCTGCCCTCTCAGCAGCAGCTGTCCATCTCCAGAGGTGCAGGACAACAGTCACTCATGGTATATTCCACATCATGAACATACACTGGGAACTTGTTTATTTGTACAGAAGAAAAATGGAAAAAAAAATCTCAAAATGTCAAAACAGATTGCTTTTAAAGCTAGTGGTATTAACTTTAATCACTAAAATCTTCTTTGCAAAAGATAGATTTAGTTTTTTCTACTTGTAATCTACCTACCAGCTTATACAGGGTAAAACCCTGAACACGCAGCATGGTTCATAGGGATAGACCCCTCAGCCCATGGAAACCTCTGAGCTGTTTTATGCATGGAAATTAGGATCTTAAAGAGGAACTGCTGTTTGCCAAATGCTCTTGTAGGCAATAAAAGTACTTAGCAATACATTGTGTGTTCCACATCATGAAGAAAATATTCAAAGTATTTCACAATGTTTTTCATTAAAATGAAAAAAAAATATAAAATTAGCTGCTTAAGAAAATATAACTTTTAAAAAAAAAGTTGCCCACAGACTAATGAAAAAAAATCCACTAACTTTTTTTTTTTTTTGTTAAAGAAGAGATCTTCATCCATATAAAAAAAAACTGGGGTTGTTTAGGTGGATTTGGTTTGGATTGTTTTTGGTTTTTTTCCCCAAAAGTGAAGACACTAAAGATTAGGAACATCACCTTTTCCTGACCAAATTTACATAAGACATCACAGTATTTACAAATAGGAACAATGATGATCAGGAGAGTTGCAAAGACTTTGTGTAACACAGGTTTCACAAATGCAAAACATTTCAGAAAATATACCTTTGAATTCATACGTTGCTGTCACTTGACTCTTCCCAAAGCATGGTGCCAGAACATTCTTCAGCTTCTCCACATGATGGTGAGTAGGAGGCAGCATGAAGTTCTCCTGATGTCAGTGGTATCACTTTGAAGACTGTCAGCATATCAATCCCTTTAAAGAGAAAGGCTTCCTTTAGTCTGGAGAGCATAACATTGAAAATTAGCTTCTCAGCATGTCCAGTGGGTACTCACCAAGATTTTAGTGAAGACCAGTGCTTAAAGCTAGCTTTTATCTTATACTAATTTCTGACCTTATGTCTGTGCAACAATCTTTGAATGCCACTTCTGCATATGCAGTATGTACCTGTGACCTGGATGTCAGAAAATATATCTTCACCTTAGTACTGACAGGGGCTCATGCTCACTGAAAACAACATGCTCTAAATTGTACAGAGCTTCTCATTTACTTCAGAAGGTTTATGCTTGTCTTAGATGAAAGTCAGAGCTTTGGACACTGGAAACTGAGCTGACTGTAGTGCTTTTGGGAAGCAGTATTCTGCAGGGTAATCAAAAACATAAGGCTCAGAATCCAATCCCCTGGCATAACCTTCTCCAGCTTTAGGATCCCTTGGAGAAAGCATTTAAAATGGTATTATGTCCTTACAGCAGGGTCAGTGATTTAACATGGATAATTTGGTTTTAATTCTTGATACCAGACACAAAAACATATTTGATAAAGAAGAAATTAAGAATGGGATGTGTCTTCTGGCACTTATCCCTCCTCCTCTCCCAGGTATTGTGTATGAACTAATGCTAAAATGGGGAAAGATCAGTACAAGGTGGGAGGGCAATAGCTTTGACAGCCACACTGTGTGGCTCTACACCAGACCCCAGCAGTGGGCAGGACCTGGCCACTGGGTTAGTCCATCCCTTGCTCTACTGGTATAGAGATAAAGCAATGGAGGAGCATTTAAAATTCGAGCTGACTTTGAGCAACACTGAGAAAAAAAAAAATCCAGAAAAAATTAAAGCAAAATTAAAATAACAACTGCCACACTTAATTTGCAGAACCTTCTCATCTTCAGTATAACTGTACAGAAGCTAAGAGAAGACTTTGCACAAGTAGCTGGCTTCAAAAATAACTCTGGAGAGGGAAAAGTACTTCCACAGTCTAGAATGAATCAATGTGATGAACTGGAATGAGCTCCATGTATTACAGACTATGAATACATTTATGAGTGGTCTAGATTATTCTTTTTCTATATACAAAAGTACAGAAAATGTGTATCTGTACAAGCACCTGATTTTGTAAATGCAGTGTAAAGTAGATCTATACATCCAGCCAGGGGTCAGGTGCCCTAGAAGGAGAAACAAAATGGCATGCCAGTCATTCTGACATTATAATACTTAGAAGAGATTGAGTAGTTAATTTGGTAAAGACAAGCAAGATAAGTATCAGTGTGAGCTTCACCTGTAGCTGTTCTTCATTTTTGGCTTTCATTCACAACGTTTTTTAAAGATAACAGCTTGGGTTTACATTTCATAGGCAGAAATGTTCTATGTAGACTCACAGAGTAATAGAATCATTTAGGCTGGAAAAGACTTAATTCTGTTAACTAAGCACTGCCAAGTCATCACTAAACCATGTCCCTCAGCACCACATCTACATATTTTTTAACTACCTCCAAGGATGACGACTCCACCACTTCCTTGGCCAGCCTGTTCCAGTGCTTGGCTATCTTTT